TTTTACAAATGCTACAAAAGTTGCAGAAGAGTTACAAATATCGACAACTTTAAAGGAATCAAGAACAAAAAAAAGAAAAAGATTAGAACTTTATGAAACAGATGATGACGTGATAAATATTTCTGCAGAACAAAACTTTCGAATTACTATTATAGACTCAATAGATATTCTTCTTACTCAGATGACATGGCGGTATGAAAAAATTATGGAAATTTCAAACGATTTTGAATTTCTTTCCGGTCATTCATTAACCAATATGAATTCACACGATTTGCAAAAAGCAGCTGCTGATTTAGGATTAAAATATAATGAAGATATAAATACTGCGGAAATAGTTGAAGAAATTAAAGATTTCAAACATGCAGCTTTATCAATTTTGCCAAGTATTGAATCAGTTACGTTTTTGGATTTATTACAAATGATTCACGATTATAAGCTTAAAGAATCGTATTTAAATATTGAAATTGCTATAAGGATTTTTCTCTCAATGCCCGTTACAACAGCTTCATGTGAAAGGAGTTTCAGCAAACTTAAATTGATAAAAACATACTTAAGATCTACAATGGCTCAAGAGAGATTATCAAGCATGGCCATACTTTCAATAGAAACAGAAATCGCTAGTAAATTGGATTACGAAGAAGTTATTGACAAATTTGCCGACACAAAAGCAAGGAAAATATCGTTATAAATAATGATTATTTTATTTTTATTATTATTAATTATTATTTTGAAATACTTTATAAATAAATTTGTAAAATTCGAATTGATTTGTTTCCTATAATATAAGGTTGAGAATTATAAACTTGTGGCTAAAAATATTATTTCTTGTTTAGCTCGAAACCTAATTAAAAATTTACTGATTTTTCTAATCTCATTATTTTATTAAAAAATATTAAAAACTGCGAGTGTGTCACCCCCCCAGGGGGCGCATTGCTAAAGTTCTGCCTCAGGATAAAAAATGGATCGGTACGGCTCTGCATAATATGTTAACGCTCATACAATATAACGTTGTTATTATAAAATTAACCAAGTCTGTTTATTAGTAGAATTTAATTATTTAAATAGTGTATCAGTGAATTTAAGGTAATTTTATTAAAAAAGAATAAGTTAATTTTAATACCTAATAAAGAGTATGTAATTCAAACTTGTATAAAATTCATCTATTTTTTAATTAAGAAATATTATGTACACATTTGTTATAATAATAAAATAATAGTTTAATTTTAAATATATATTTTCTATAATATGTTGTGTATGTATGAAGTCAAATTAGTTTGTATTTAACAATAATACATTAATTAATATGCTACAAAAATATTTATGTATAATGTATATATTTTATATGTATGTAAGATATCACAAAACATGACTTTCACAATTTCAACCCAATCTTAGATAAATTTTGATAAAAAAATTGAGGCCCTAAAAAAACCCTGCCTAGGCCTTTCATAGCCCAGGCCGACACTGTGTATTTTAATAGTAAAAAAATATATATATATACTACATTTTATATAATATTATAATTTTAAGCTATACACTGATGATATGAAAATAATATCATTTGGAAGAACATAATATTGTGGAGTAAGTGATAAAATAATATAATCACACTTGTTTCAATCTCTATACATGGTGCCTATAAAAGAATAGGATCTATGATAGATTATAAAGGCAGCTTATCGATAAAGCTAACAAAGTAACTTATAAATTCGATTTTTCGACACACAAAATATTTAGGACTTTTCATTACTGATAAAAATTGTACGGAAAACCTCACAGAACAATGTACATTGTCATATTGGATAATAATAGTTATGTTGGTACTGTTCGAAACATTCGTGTCTCTCTACGTACAACAGTACATAGTAAGTTGAAAAAGGTTAATAGGTACCTATATTAGTTTTAAATGATTTTAAATTGATTAAACATCATACATCTAAAATATGAAAATACAAGCGATGTGTAGATGCGTTATAAATAAGTGTAAGGCAAAAGTGTATACAGTGGGTTTAAATATTAAATGTTAATTTGATTAACATAGATAAATCGTGTTTTGGTCATAGTCATGCAAGTGATGAAACTTTAAAACGACAACAAATTAGTAATTCTTGTAAAAGGAAATCTTTAAACTCCATAAAAATACCATAAAAAATAATAAGAAAGGAAATATCTAAATATACTAAAGAAGGAGATTTGGTTTCGCCCGATTTAAAATTAATAACAAGAAATATTCACAATGCAAGAATGCATTGATATCCCTAACTACCAGCATCAATAAAAGAAGTTCACGAATCATTAAGTTTACTAGACATAAAATCGAATAGAAGTGAGTTATTTATTTATGACAATGATGCCCTAAATGAAATAATTATTTTTTCATGTAACCCAAACATAGAATTTTTAAAACAATTAGATTTTGTATACACGGATGGTACTTTTAACTATTGTGATAAATATTACACCCAATTAAACACGATTCATGGAATTAAAAATGGGATATTTATTCCATTATTGTTTTGTTTATTACCAAATAAGGAAAAAAAGACATATATCACATTAAATAAAAAAATAAAAAAAGGCATCTGTAGTACCTAAAAAAATTATTTTAGATTTTGAAATAGCGATGCATCAAGCTGTTTCTGAAATTTTTCCAGAAACAGTGGTGTTTGGCTGTAGATTTCATTTGGGCCAAGCTTGGTTTCGTAAAATACAAAATATAGGTTATGTGTCAGCATATATCAGCAGATAACGGTGTAGGAAAACGGTTGTACATATTTTTGGTCTTTCTTTTTTCAATCCAGAGGAAGTGGAGGTGTTCGGACACGGAACAGTTGTCGCGCTGCGCAAGCCCAAATACTCAGTACTTATATTTTTTTTACAGCTATGAATTATTATTATATTACAATTATTAAATTAAATACAGTGTAGAAATTTATATGCTTAGGTACCTTTTTTTTTTTTTACCGTGTAGGAACTTATACACATGTACCTGTTTTTTACTGTGTAGGAACTAAAATATGAATTTTGTTTACCTGCTAGGTCTCGTGTAGGAACTAGGAACTACATTCCCCTAAGGTTTAGCCTTTGTGTGGTTCAGATGAATACCGTTCGTATCTGCATCATTATTACGGTGTTTAATAATTGCTGGCAAAGTGACAAAAATCATGCGAGTTGGGGACGAAACCTAAAGAGGTAACATGCAAATTGAGGACACAAATATAACATAGTAATTGAGGACAAATATCCAATTTTTATTTTTGATATAACGATTGTAGGAGTTAATAAATTATTGTTTGATACTGACGATATATATTTATATAAATATCGATTGACAATATTGGACTGATTATTTATTAACATTAAGATTGTGCGGTGGTTTTGAGACAGCTGTCAAAAAATATGTTTTATCAGTTCAACGACAAATTATAAAAATAATGATCCAATTTTTTTTCAAATAAATAGATGGTAATGGTTTGTAAGTAATTTTTTTCTATCCCAGAATTTTTATTCTGGTGATGCCCATGCATACCAGTATCTTTTCAGAATGTTTAGATTAAGACATCCTATATAAATAATTATTTTAAAACAATTTCAATCTTTAGTTTTGCAATTAAGTATTACTATTGCCTGAGAAAACATGGATAACAACACTATTTAATGAAAAGACAAATTAATGTTCAAAAATCTACTGCCGATTAATCAGAAAATGTTTCGATTTAATTTACTTACAGTTGATATTTTTGAAAGTTCACTCAAATGTTTCTGATATGCACCAATCTTTTGATGTAAATAATTAAGTTAAATTAATACATTGAATCATCAAATCTGTACATAGTTAAGTACTAGAGTTGTTATATTTTTAAATAATCATTTTGATTACCTAGCACCAATTCATAAATAATAAAAACAATAATTAGAGGTAGTTATTCTTTAAATATTTTATATTTATGCAATAACTAAATTATTTAACAAAATAATATGTTTACTAATGTAAAAAAAATAGTTACAGTAAATTAGATGGCAATTGTTTGAAATAACTTATCAACAGCATATTATAAGTATTTAAAAATTAAATATAAATAAAAACTAAACAGTATGTATTAATTAATTAAAAGTTATTCCATGACTCTTGAACTTTTCTGATAATAATGATTGAAAGCCACTTTCAGTTCCCAACTCTTTAACAGTAAACTGTAAATTAATCAGATATATATAATTATCTTAAGTTATATACAAAATTATAATAATGGTTTGATTATTGGTACCAAAGTACCTAGACATGGATTGTTTAATATACAAATTAATGATTGTGCATTTAAAAATGTGTTTTTCTTTGAATAATCCAATTTATTGTTATAATGCTAGGACAGCTTTGTTGTAAAATAAACAAATTACTTTACTTTCTTACAACTTCAATGAATTGTATTCATGAAAGGGACGACATTTAACAAAAGTTCTATCATTTCAAATTATTTTTATCGGACAAGCGTACATTTTATGACAAATTGTTATTTTTCACTCATATTAATTTTCAATACAACGCATACACTGGTCCTTGACTTCTTGGAAGAAGTTTATGTGGATACAATTATAATATTATCGATTAAACAGACAATACACAACCCGGAACACAAAAGAGAATAATGTACTTTCAAAACAAACCTACTGTAATAAAACAAAATATACAAAACAGGAGTAATTTGTATTTTAATTTGGAGATTAGTGTTATAAAGTTATTTAGTAAATTGTTTTACTAAAAAGAAAATATTAAGATCTAAATGCAGTGTTGGATATTTTAAGTACTGCCATCAATATTATTTCTACAAAATGCAATACAATTATGTATACACAAACCCTTACCAAAATTGGCTCATAGCCAAGTTTCTTTAGTTGTCTGATTTTACAAGATGTTAAGCCATTATATTCATTACTATAATAAAGTACTGAATTTCTTACAAGTGCCATTACAGCAAACCATTTTCCTAATTCTGGTGGTTTCTGGAAATCATTGAATACAGTTCTATTTTTCATTGTTTCGGGAATAGCCACTGGTTTACCATTAGTATTGATGCAAAATAATATATCTAGTAAAAAAAAATAATGAAAAATTAGTATACAACAATTACATTAAAAACTAAATATACACAAAACATTACCAGACTTTGGATGATGAGGAAGCGGGTAACATACATGTAAATAAGACGGATCATTGTTGAATAGGCTTAGAAGTTCCATGTAAAGTTTAATAAAGTTCTTGTCATTTGTACCTAGTTTAGCCATAGTACTTGAAGTAGGTATATGCCATGCTAAATGCTAAAATATGAAACATAGTAAGATTTAAATGGAAACACCCATTAACTCTCAAAAAGTTGAACTAGAATATTATTTTTGTGGGGTTTGCAAATTTTTTTCTTTAGTTGGAATAGGAAAAAACTATAATTAATCGATGATTAAAGGTTAAAGAGATTAATTCTGTAACTTAGACTCAATAAATATCAATAAAAAAAATTCATTGACTTTATAAATACCAAAGGATTAAGAATATGTATTATTGATGTCATAACAAATTCAACTAATGTATATTAATTTTATTATGGAAATTTACAAATCTTAAATCATATTTTCTAATTTGTATATATTTTCTACTGTAAATACAAATATTTTTTATTATTAATGCATACAACTGCA